CCAACGTCACGTAACTTTTAACTTCCGCTTAATTCGCTCTTCGTTTCTTTCTGCCTGTTTCCCTCAAAAAGCGACAAAGACCCGGTTTTTCATTTTCTGGTTAATAAATGTTAACCGGAAGTTAGTCGATTACCTGTCTCTTCTTAGACAATCATATAGAAAAGGATGGAAAGTCGACTAACTTCTGGTTAACAGTTAATCAGAAAATGAAAAATCGGGGCAAAGAGTGACTGAAGTTAAGGTTAAAATTAAACATCGGTGCAACCAGGCCTCACAAATCTCTTGTCGTTAACACCACGATCGACAAAATCCCCGTGCAGATTTCAAGAGGAGAGGAGAGCCGACTCGGCACGCGAGCTTTCTCGCGCGAGCTTTTCGCAATTCGTCACGACCGTGAGACGCGGATCGGGCGTGTTTTGATATTACGATCTCAGAGGGGCCACGTACGCGTTACGTAACGCGACGGCAAACGCCAAATTATTTCACGCGCATCGGCAGAAATCGTTGCCAACTACGTGCGAAACGCCGGGCTCGCCGCCGTCGCCGCCACCGCCGCCGCCTCCGACGTGTTTTGGCGATGCCTGGCGCTGTAACACGAGAAGCTTTTGGCGAACGCGTGCGGAGACGCGGGTCGCCTCGCGGATTCTTTCCCGCGACTTTTTCCGAGCGTTCCGGAGCAGCGTTATACGGCCATAAGCGCTATTATTAAGAGACGCTGGCACGCGAGTGCCAATGTCGAGCGGCGGCGACCATCGCGGATTTAGCGACAGCTTTCACGCGCGAGCTGTCAGAAATTCAACATTCTCTCGTGCTCCCGTAGTCAGTAATTCCCCACGCGAGCTTTTCGTTGACGGGAGGATGTTTGTGCTGTTTCGTCTACACGCCGTATTTTGAAAAGCTCGGGTTATTCGCATGACTCGTTCCGTTCTCCGCAGGTCGACATTTGGAACGCAATTCTTACAAAATAGTCCCGTAATAATTATTTTTAAAAATCACCATTCTTCTTACTCGCCGAAGGGAAAGACGTTTGTAATACATGTGTGACTCTCGTACAAACGAAACCTCGCAATCGATTCGTTGTTAATGGGAGGATATTTTCGTGTTCTCCATGAAATATCATTTCGACAGAAAATCGTTGGTAATTTGAGTCTCAAGGACGGCAGATTCCTCGGGTTTCCTGCCGCGCGCTCAGACCGTTTCGCGGATCTTAACGCGCTTTTGGCGAAAGACGTCGTCGCGGTATCGCGCGATCGAGTTCAAGCACCCCGAAGCTGCCGAGGTGGAAATCGGATCGGCGATCGTCTCCCGCGCGAGAACCTGCGCGCGCGAGATGGCTTTGACACCGTCGGACTCATATTTCTCTCCTTTCCGAGAAAGCCGGGGGCGGCCGGACGCTCGCCG